AGCTACAGGACTCCATATATATTACATTTGTATAGCGACTTTCATGTCAGGAGGGTGTCCCAAGGCGCTGGACAGTCATTGTTTTAGACCCGAGCTGGGGGTCGGGATTGGGGAGGGTGGAGGACGGGGGGGAAAGAGGGTGATCGAAAGCACAGTCGAAGAGGAGGGTCTTGAAATGGGTCTTGAAGGAGGCAAGGGAGGGGGTGAGGTGGAGGGACTTGCAGGATGGAGTTCCAGTGGGTGGGGGCAGAGTGGCTGAAGGCCCACCCGCCAATGGTGGGACTTGCGAGGCGGGGGAAGTAAAGCAGGCCAGAGGCCGCTGAGCGAAGGGACTTAGGAGGTCGCAGAGGTAGGGGGTAGGGAGGCCATGGAGGGCTTTGAAGGTGAGGACCAGGATCTTGAACTGTGTCCATTGTTTGATGGGAAGCCAGTGGAGTCGGGCGAGAGTGGTGGTGATAGGTTCACGGAGCCTGGTACAGCAGAGGACACAGACTGCAGAGTTTTGGATGATTTGCAGCTTATGGAGGGAGGAGCCTGGATTTAATGAATGCGTGTATGAGGGTTTCGGCGGCCTGTGGTGTGAGACAATAGAGGAGCCGGGCGATGTTGGGGAGGTGGGGGAAGTCAGAGTGGGTCATGGCAAAAAGGTTGAGGGTTACACAAGACTCCAAGATTCCGGACTGGCTTAGTAAAGTGGAATGTGTATCCTTAGACGCACACTATGTAACTATCTGGATTTTGGACTGTAAAAGCAGCAATCTCAATGACTAAGCTGTCACAAGATGCATTAGAGGTTTAATTAGAACAGAATGCCTATAAGACATGCAAGACTATTGTGTATTTATGACTTCATCTGAAGTGTTTGAAAGTTGTTTCAGGTCAGTGCTTTTTTCTCTCCCTATCATTCCACCTTTCTCATCTCGCAGGCCACGATGTTGATTTGGTACCGTTGGTATTGATTCTATTTTAGGAACGTAGGAACAGCAGGAGGCCATTCATCCCATCAAACCCGTTCTGCCAGGTTTATTAGGTCATGGTAGATCTTTCACTCCTATCTGCCTGACTTCCTCTCCATCCTTCAATACCTTTACCCAAGAATCTATAATTTTTTGTAAACATTCCAATTGATTCAGCCTCACTGGCCTTTGGGGGCAGAGCATTCCACATTTTCACAGACATATGTGGGAAGAAATGTTTATCTCAAGAGGCCGTTTTTGATGTGCGAGTGAGGACTGTAAGCATCTGTGGGATGGATATACTCTATAACTGAGAGGCCCATTTTGATCGAGTGAAACCTATTTCTCTCCTGATATCAACATACCTTTGGTCCATTGGGCCTGTGCAATGCTAGCTTTCAAGGGGCAAAAGATTTCTGATTGACAAACAGGAATACTGGACCACCTCCTAGCCCTTTACCCACTGTTAGACCACTGAGGTCAGTTGTACCTCGCCTATTGTTGCTCTAGTTGAGGTCTCAGCACAGATTAGAGGCTGCATTTATGACCTAGGTGGACTGTGTGGCCTAGTACCAGTTATAATGGAAGTTCATGAGCTCAGATACACTGAGTAGAGACCTTATGCTACAATGTATAGTAAGCTTCCTCCTAAAAACGCGGTGGATGGTATTTGAGGAGGAAGGGTTTGCAGGGTTATGGGGAAAGGGCTGGGGAGTGGGATTGACATTACGTGGCTCTTTTCAAAGAGCTGGCACAGACTCCATGGGCCGAATGGCCTCTTTTTGTGCTGTACGATTCTATGATTCTATGATTCTGTATAACAAGTTGTATTTGCATAGTGCATTTCATTTGGGATGAAAGTCTTGAAGGGCTCAATTTGTCTATTTTGAAAGCATTCATTTTAGAATCTTGCTATATCAAATGCAAGGATTGTTAGTATTATTGTTCAGGCAGTGTTGTCCTTTTGTCACCTCTTACTAATGTGTTTATCAGCAAATTCCAATTAAAAAGTGGGCAGAGATGAGTAGGTTCATTTGTTCCTGCCAAGTTAGCTAAACAAAAGAACACAGGTTCAGGGTTGTGAAGGGCAAGTTTAGAACATCAGTAATTGTGCAGTTTCTCCCTCACATTGGGGATCACTGAGCAGTGTGGGAGGCAGAAGGGAGTGCGCAGATGATGACCAAAGTAGTGGTCAATTCAAGAGGGTTTTTTGAGAGGGTTTTGAATGCATGAAGAGAAGGCGAAGAAAACTGATGTATTGATCTGTAGGGAAGTGGACTTCAGACCAGGGCAGGGCAAAGAAAAAATATTCTGTCTACTTTTCTACCTTGTTACAAGCCTGGGAAAGAAAGCTGTAAAATGTTCAAAGGTCAGATTGTTCAGTTCGGTCGAAAGCTAGGATGATCCTGTTGATCACGCGATCATTTATTAAAAAGAACTTTGATTTTCATTTGTCTTTCTCTCTTGTAGGCCATTCACCAGATGTGTCCCACTCCCCCAGCTGGGAGAGCGCAGACAGTCTGTAGCTTTCAGAAACCAGTGTTGGTGTCGCTCTGTGACTGGCCAGCAACAGGAGTGAGTTCTGAGCAGGTACCCCCTTCCCCTGGTGGGTGTGGTGGGTGGGGGAGAAGAGGATAGTGGTGGGATATCAGGCATAGTAAAGGTCTCTGTCTCATCAGTGCAAAGTCAGCACCTTAAATGTAGAAGCATTAAAAAAAGTGTGGAAAAGGTCCAGAGGCCCATTAACTCCACATGCAGAAGAATTCTTTCCCCACCCCCACCCACTCCATCTCCAAGCCAGTATCCAAACTATTCTCTTCCGCTGAACGAGTTTGAACGGAGGGGACGTAAATCCCACAAGAGGAAAACAGATTTGGCTGTTTCAGTGGATTGTGGGGGGGAAGGGGTTAGCTGCAAAATAACTCCTTGACTTCCAAAGGCAGTCAGGCGAGCACCACGTGAAGGCCAAGCCGCCACCAACAACCATCAACCAACTCTTTGCTTTTGAGTGGCCCAGGAAAGGACTGAAAAAATGGCATGGCAGGGGCTGCCTCAAGCATTGAACGACTCGAATCACCAGGCTTGTCCCTTGCCTTAGAAGTGCTGCATTGGACATCAAACAGTTAACTTGCAGTGGCCCAAACTGGGAAACGTCTGCAGTTTGATACCACCCCTCCCCCACACATGTCTCCCATTCTTGTGCTCTCTCAAGTTCAGTAAAACTTAGTGTTATCTTCCTGCCCAGGATTTTATAGACTCTCCTCTATATATTACCTGTCTCCTGGTTGCATTTGAATTCTCCTTTAAAAAGGCTTGCAGTCAGCAAGCAATCTCTTCACCTACAAAGCGCTGGGGAGGGGGGGGGGACATCCAATTTGGCCTGCGTGCCTCAGGATTTGCAGTGGATTTTGCAGAGGGTGAATTCGCTAAAACGAAAAACGTGGCCTGTTGAGTAAAGCTGTCTCGAAGATGAGATAGCGTTGACATAAATGCACATTTGCTTCTAAAATGGCCTCTTATTTTAGAAGGGTGTGGTTTAAAAAAAAGGCTGGTGTTTTGTGATCTGCATTCTCTGTGCCACGGCATGTCAGGTTCCATAAATCCCCATCAGAACCACAGTAACTCTTCCTGCCTAAGAAAAAAATAAAAGGAGATTGCCGTTACTGAATGCATCTGCGATTTAGCAGGAAAAGCTCTGCAATTTGGGGAGTGCTGGTTTTTTTTTCGCGGACGTGGGGGTGGAGGTGGGGGGGGGAAAGGTTTAAAAAAAAAGTATCCAGTTGCTGAATTGAATTCATTTCTTTTAAAATAAACCCAGGGCTTCTCTTTTCGGCTGTAGCGTCGGTGAACGTGTCAGAAGGATGGGCAGGTAATTTGAGATTTAACGTTTTCCTGTGTCCTTATTTTATATATCTACACACACACAAAAAAAAACTTGTGCTTTGCTGACACGGTCGCCATCTCGCGCGCCGCAGGGTCACAAGCCTTCGCGGCGGTTGACTTTCCCAGAGTTGCCCAGTTGCCAATTGCTGGCAAAATTATGTTTTTTTAAAAAAAAAGAGAGAGAGAGAGAGAGAGAGAGAAGGAGAAGATAGGAGGAGAGAGAGAGAGAGAGAGAATGAGTGAGTGAGTGAAGGAGAGAGGAGTGTGTGGCAGCAAGCGTTTGCAAAGCTTAATCGGAGGAAGGGTCCCCCGAAAAGGGTTGCCCTCCTTTGCCTCCGCGCGTGCAGTGTGCGGGTGTGTGTGCGCGCGTGGGGTGGTGGTGGCGGTGGGTGGTGGGGTCCCCGCAAACGCCCCGATTTGGTGCAAACGTTGGGGAGGATGTGGCAGAGGGGGGACAGACTGGGCAGCAGTACAGTGTCTGGTGCTGCAGCACAGGTTTCCATAGCTGTACGTGGGGTGGCTGGAACCGGCTGGAACTGGTTCGGAGCGGCTCAGCTCATGAACAATGCAGCCACTGAGCCCTACGTTGCTTCCTCCTTCATGGCAGCTATACAAGAAGCGTGCAGACAGGTACCATCCAAACCAGCATGATTGCACCCTAGACACACTATTCTGGTATGTGGCTAGTATGCTAAATACTTTATAAATGGCTTTGCTTGCAGTGACTTTTTTTTTCCCTACTCTATCTCTCTCTCTCTCTATCTCTCTCTCTCTCTCTATATATATATCTATCTCTCTCTCTCTCTCTCTCTATATATATATCTCTCTCTCTATATATGAAAAGAGGGAGGCTGGGAAAAATGTTTCACTGTCTTGAGATTTTTTTTTGTTTCTTCCTCTCTATTAAAAAAAGGGCTTCCAGTGCGAAGGAAAAGGTGGGGGTGGGGGGGGGGGGGTGGGGGGAATGCGCGCTCCCATTTTATTAGAGAGAAAGAAGAGAGCAACAAAAAATGGTGGACCGGGGGGATCTGTTAGGCTCATACGCACGGTCTGTGCGGGTCACAGGGCGTACAGTTTGGAGCTCACACCAATTTTTGTCTTGCTGTGCATTCTAGGAGGAGAATTGGAAGCGGTGCAAGGTTAGTTTTCTTTTAATGTGCATACATGGTGGGGGGGGGGGGCAGAAAAGGCACGCTTTGGTTGCTGAGAGAAGATGGAGGATCTCTCTCTCTCTCTCTCTCTCTCCGCAGCAGCTTGTTTTTCTGTCCAGGTTCTGGTTGCATGTACTTTTCTGATGCAGTAGTCACGAGGAGATGAATTCTTGGGGGCCAGAGAAAAGCCACAGTGGATGTGGGTGTAAACCCAGCAGGCTACATCAAACTGTGCCCTCCTCACGTGAAGCAAAGACACCACGCCAGAAGAATGAGGGTTCATAAAATTAACCAGTTCAATTTATTCAAGAGATATTACAGAGGCCAGCAATGGTGTGCTCGTGTCAGCTAAGTGAGTTTTATTTTAAATTTGCTGTGAGAGTGTGGCTGTTTCAGCACAAAGACTTCTGGGGGCTGCTGCTGATTGTCACCTCCCTTTTAAAAGCCTTTCCAGATATACTGTTGTTCCCTCTCTGAGCCTGTCCTTATAAATATATTAAAAAAAAGACCTCTTTGTTTTCACACAACTCTCCAGAGGGGTTCAAAGCCACAACCACCAAGATCTGTTTTTCCCCCCTCCAGAACAGCAAGCTGAAATGAGAATAAAATATTTATTAAAAGTGGTAAGTCTGAAACATTTGCGTGTTTACAAAGTAGCAGCGTTAATGATCGGTTCCTGAAGCATTCAGGCCTGTCGGACAGGATTTTGTTTCCCCTTCCTTTCTGGAGTTACATTATTTAACCTTTGCTGCTGCAGATACTCCAGGCAAGTCTCTTATTGTAAAGGAGAAACCTTTCATTGCTTGTGGGTGGAGGGGGGGAGCGAAGAGAAGGGAAAGCTGTATTGTAATCAAAATGTCTCTTTCTGAACGATTCCAGGTCTGTGCTCGGAGACTCAAACCGCAGGGCACAGGGTACGCTGGTGTAACGGTTAAATTATTTTCTTGATTCCTGAAAAAGATTTTCTGCACTGGTCTCGCCCTTTATCCAGGATTTTGTCCTTGAAAATGAGAAGTGTCAGGTAACAATGCCTTTGGCCTACCCACAGACAGACAGACAGACAGATAGATAGATCTGAAGAGGCCACGTTTTCGAGGCTTTGATGTTACTTTCGCATTTGCTAGGTTTTCTGTGCAAGAAATTCGCAAAATAAAATGGAGCTATTTTTGTGCTTTTCGTACGCCAGGACACAGCTGGTTCGCAGGGAGTGAGGGGAAATCACTGGTCCACCCTCCCTCCCTCCCTCCCTCCCTCGACTCTGCTTTGTGCAGCTTCAGTGCAGCTGCCTACAAAATGGCAGCACTGTCCCTGAGAGCTGGCTGCTCGTCTGAGCTTTCTGAAAAGGAAATTTTTTTAAAAAAAACTCTTGCACGGTGAACCAATGAGGGGTGCAGGTTAAACAGAACCTAAAGTGAACCCTTATATGTGATGTTGTGCAGTAGCATGTTGGCAGCTCAAATCATTTCAAGCAGCGACTTGTTTTGAAGCATGGTTACATTCTTCATGTAGGCAAACTCCAGTCGCTAATCTAATCCAACGTGCCCTCAAACCACAACAACAACAAATTACACTTGTATCGCACCTTTCACGTCTGAAGGCTTTAGTTTTCAACAGTGCCCACGGACACCTCGCCTTTCTCCCTGGTTCGGTTTCAAACTATGCCACAGTCCAGCGTCCGAGATGCTACCCCACGTGGAGGGAACTATTCAATTGCCAGTAGTTGTTGTTGTTGATCAGCTGGTCTTTTGGGGGAGGGGTATATTGACTACACTGGCAGAACTCTTGTGAATGGACAACAATGATCATCTATGCTCTCATCACCTCCCTCCTCAATTTCTCCAATGCACTCCTCCCCAGTCTCCCCAGCTCCACCATTCACAAAATCCCCCAACTTATTCGAAACTCAGCCATCCATATCCTCACTTGAAAACTCCACAGCAACATCACCCCATTCCAGTCCTGTCGGAGAACGGATCGATTTCGCACTCGCCTACAAATCACTGTACACCTCTCTTCTATTCATCCTGCCCACACCCCACTCCTCTTCATGCGCATTTCGCTCGACCGACTCGGGCCTTCTGTGTGTCCCTCGATCCCTCCACTCCACCATGCTTTCAGCCACTAAGCCCCGAATCTCTTGAACTCTCAATCCCCCCCGTTTGCCTATCTTCGCCCACAAAATATAGATTCAATTCACTTTACAGTATATTCTGTGAAGTGCTTTGAGACATCTCAAAGCCGCAGTGAGGCGCTATATCAAAGGCAAGGATTATTATTATTATTATTATCTTCAGATTGCACCTGAAGGCTTTCCTTTTTAACAATGCCCGCGATCAACTCCCTTTTCTCCCTGGTTCAGTGTCAAACTATTGCACAGTTCAGCGCTCCGAGCTACTTCCCCGGGTGCAGGGCAGTATACAAATGCCAGTTGTTGATCAGCTGATCTTTTGGGGGGAGGTGGAAGGAGAATAGAGAACTCTTTGTGAATGGACAAATGGCACCTTGATTTAATATTTCATCAGAAGGAAACCACTTCTCAGTACTGCAATGAGGTCTCGGCCTAGATTTTGAGCTCGGGTCCTGAACACGAAACTTCCTTCATCAAAAGCTGAACCAGAATCGAATAGATTCCAGTCTGCTGAGTTAGCTGGGTTTAGATTGTCAGAATGTTACGATTAAACTTTTATGTCTTGGAGGGTGGGTGGGTGGAGGGGAAACCTCAGCCTTAGTTGCGCTTGAATGACATTTTTGGTCAGATGAATGTGAGTCGTTTAGATGAATAGATGCAAACAGTTTCAGCAATGCTGCATGCCTTATATAGCCTACTAACTTTCACTATCTAGGCTCTCACAGGAGGAATGGCATGTTGAGCGAAGTTTTAGGCATTGATGCCATGTGTAGAGATTACCATTTTCAGGAACTAGGGTTCAAATTTGGGAAAGGATGATAGCTTCTTTCTTATGTCACCGTGCTTTATAACATTCAACTATGAATCTTGGGTTGCTTGCTATCAGGAAGACCCGAATCTCTTCACTCTTGTCCTTTATGTGTGAAGTGTTTGTTTTGTATTTTGTGGCTACTTCTGTTTATAGCTGAGACTAGGAACTCAGCAGGTTGGTGAGGTTCATGCAGTGTTTCGGTGGATTGATTTTTTTCAATTGAGTATTTAAATGAAGGGTCAAACTCCATGGTTGGTAACAAAGCGGAAAAAGGAATCAGAAAAGAATTGAATCCAGGAGTGAATAAAATAGGATAAGCTTAGGTTAGACTTAGCTTTTGAAAGGCTACAGATGGTAGGAGGAAGGGAAGACCGATTGTGGCATTGAGTTTCATATTTGTGAGGTCATGGAAAGAATGAGTCAGAATAGGAGGCCATATGTGAGGGTGCTGCAAAATAGTTGTTCATGAAGCGAAAATCAACATGGCATGAAATGACTCCTAATCAGTAATAGGTCTGATATATTTACAGTGTGCATACATTATTTCAAAATGAGGATGAGAATCTGGTTATCTAAGTTTGCTGCTGGTTATCTGTGTCGTGACCTGTTCTGCCTTCGCCCACATCCGCAACATTGTCCGCCTCTGCCACTGCCTCTTCCCTCAGCTGGACTCTCAGCTGTGCTTTCCTCAAGTCCAGGCTTGACTATGCTAACTGCTCACCAGATTTCCCACTCTTCCCTCCACAAGCTGCAGATTATTCAGAACTCTGGAGCTCGTGTTCTTTCCCGCACTAAGCTCCGGTAGATGGTCACCCCCGTCTCATTGGCTCCACATTTCCCAAAGGATCAAGGTTAAGATCCTCGTCCTCTCTTTTAAAGCCCTCCATGGTCTTGCTTCTTCCTCTGTGACCCACTGAAACCATACCAGCATGCCTGGTCCCTCTGCTAGGCAGGCCTGCTCCATGTCCCCAGCCCTCCCTACCCACTATCTGCGGCCTGGCCTTCAGCCTTTGTGCCCTCACTATCTGGAACTCCATCCAGGAATCGCTTCACCTCCCTCACTCCCTTGCCTCCTTCAAGGCCCATCTCAAGACCTACCTCTTTAACTGTGCCTACAGTCATCCTCCCACCCCCCTTGCCCTCCACTCCTCTTGATTCGAACCACCAGCTCGGGCGATCTCCGAGGGAGGTCTTTGCCAAGTGAAAGATGCTATGAAATTTGTTTTTGTTGTTGCTGCTGTTTGGTGAGGAAGAGTTGTGTGTGAGAGAGATTAATGTAGGGTTATTGATTTGTTTTTCCATGTGTACCTTTGGAGCTGGCCAGATGGACCAAACCTGACTCTTCCGGTCCGGTAATATTCCATAGAATAGTAGAACTGTGCCACATAGCAGAAGGCCATTTGACACATGATGTTGTTTGTGTTTGCTCCTCCAAGAAGCTGCCCATCACTTTTGTGGAGGGTTATAATTCCTTCAAAAAAAAGAAATTGGTCACTCAATCTATGACTATTTATGGGACACTGCTGTACGCAATTGGCTGCTGAGTTTCATCCACAAAAGATATAGTCAATTCACTTTACAATATATTCTGTGAAGTGCTTTGAGGCAACTGGAAGACTTGTTAAGGCGCTGTTTGAAATGCAAGAATTAGTATTCTAACCCAATCCCAGTTCCCTGCACGCTCTAATATTGTGCTTGCGTGTTGGATGAATGCTGCTTGGGAACAACTAGAAAGGAGCAGTGAGTGTAGAGTTATAGGGGAAGGCATGTTGTTTGTTGGAGACAACGGGCTTGGATTGAATAGTGGTAATGTGAGGGTGGATGAATATCCTGTAGGTTTGCCTGACAACCTTTAGGAGTAAAGGTATGTTTATGCAGCACTTTCCCTCCAGGGATTAAATGGGGCTGTGCACCCATGTGGATAGAATATTTAAGCCATTGTTTACAGTGTATTTTTGTTATATTCTCTGGGGAAATTCATATCAAATGCAAGGATTATTATTATTATTTCTTTATCGCTGTCTCAGCCATTTACATTCCTTCCTACTTTACACACACAGAAATACAGGAAGTAATGTTGACTTGTAGATTGGTCATTTCAATGGGAACAGGCTGGCCCCACACATAAAGGGTCCACAGTACAACCACGGTATAAGCAAATTCACACTAGAGTAAAGCGTGGTATAATGGTGCTGTAGTGGACCTCACATTTATCAGCATTAAGCTGAATCTGCCACTTGTCTGATCAAGTTTTCCATCACTACGCTCTTGAAGACTTGCACAATCATTGTCCCATTTAAGCCTTCAGGGAATAGGATCTTGGCAGCACTCCAACATTACTTGCGAAGTTGTTTTTTCAATTGGAGCCTCCAGTTATTTAAAAGTGAAAGCAATGAAAAGCCAGAGCTTGCGTTGAGGAATAGATTGATGCCTTCATTTCAAATCTAGGATGTTCTATACTGTGGGGGATGCTGAAGGAGTTCTGCACTTGCCCCGACTGATTGCAATGATGCCCACTATTAATGTAGTATTATCTTCCGTTTACCTTTAATTTATCCCTACATGGCCTTCAAATACTCCTTGCAGAAATGCAATTTGCGGCTGCACTGAATTAAGTGCAGGTTTGTGAAGCGCATTAATGGCCAAAGAAAATGTTATATGAACAATATAAGTGCAATCGTCGTAGCAAACACCTGGAACAATTTCGTAATACCCACATGCACTATAAATAGCTAATACACAGTGGGTTTATTCACACAATCTCACAATGTCAGCTTTAAGGTCAATCAGTTTTGCTTAAACTTCAAACTTTGACTCAGCACCACCTCAGAAGCTGTATCTGGATGCACTTGTGCATCTGTAAAATTCGTAAGAATCGCTTTAGTAACCAAGATATGTTGTGGTCCCTCCACTTCTGAAATGGCTTTCTATATAACCGATTTGGTAAAGACTTCCCATCACCTAGCGACTTATCATGTCTTCTAGACATCTCAAAGGGCTTCACAGAATATACTGTAAAGTGAATTGAGTGTATATCTTGTGCGCAAAACTCGGCGGCCAATTGCACACAGCTCAGGTACCA